CTAAAGAGAGAACACCATATATTTAAACTCTAGGGCCCTCGCTCAGATATTCTTCTGTCCACTGCACGAAGACATGAATAAAATAAACCATATACGTTCCAAAAACGCCGAGATGCAACTTGGGTCCGATTCAGATGGAGTGGGTGCATGTTCCTCTGGGGCTCTCATTTGGATAGACTCTATGGCGTGCTGCAGGTACTCTATTCAGAACCATCGAAGAAAAAACCCCTAAAACAACAAAGGAAAACAACGACAGTATGGAATTCTCTGGCCCACCCACTTTTTTGTCTGCAACTGTTTTGCTTCAGGGACTCGTTGCAAGTAAGATTCATGGAGCTTGTCTGGAGGAGGGGGAGGACAGCAAAGGCTTTATCAGTTAATCTCGTGTCTACCTGTGTCTCCATGTGTTGGGTTCAGGATTGCTGAGCGTTTTGGACCATTCCCATCACACAGACAACAACATTCATTGTATAAATATCACAGGACAAGCACATCCAGGGCTAAGCCGTACTGCAGTTTAAGAATATGGCCCGATGGATCGATCAGTAGGGGAAGATATCACAACACTACTTGAGAAGAACAGGAAGTGGAAAAAAGGAACAACGAAGATAGACTTACAAATGTTGCAAATTTTACGATTCTTTTTTTCTTTTTCTCTCCAAAGAACACTTTCAATGAAATGAATAATATAGAATGTTTTGTGTGCTTGCTGATGATCATGAGAGGACGTGTCAATGGTTGTACAAGGATAGACTCGACAAAGCCTGACAGAAGAGAAGAAGCAACTAGAAGAAGAAGAAGAAGAAGGGTCAGTGCCATGGCAATACTAACTTTCAGAGAACCCAACAAAAACAGATGGATTTATTTTACTTCATTCATTTATATATATATATATATATATATTTATGTATACCCACATGTTCAAATTTTCAGCACGGGGAGAGTAAGAACGAAAAAAGTGAAAGGAAAGAGAAAAAAACAGCTCGAAAAGGGACTCATCAGGTGTTTTTTTTTCTCAAAGATGATTGAATGGCTAAACATAAACAAGGTTCCCCTGAGTTGGATGAAAATTTAACGAATGACATGTATTTTTTACATCCAGGAAAGAAAGACCTTCCAGTGTGGCCCTAGTCCAACTGCCAGTGGTGGGTCGAGAGCCCTAGATCAGGCTTGGAATTAGTGCGGTGGGGCAGAGTGAAGCATCCGAAAAGGAGGATTTTATTTCTCTTTTGTATTTTCCTATTCCTTATTTCCTTCTTAATGTTTCCCTGGAATTCCCCTGTCTTTCACATGGAGGCCTGTCTGCAAGCTTGGAGGTGGGGGGCAGCTTGATTTGGGCTGCGCAGCCTGGCTGGGGAAGAGTTCGTCTGTCTGCATGGGGGAGCAGGCAGGCTCTGCACATAACCAGGCAAGGGCAGGGCTTCCTTTCTGAGGAGCCTCAGGCTTCTCATGATGGGCTCCTTCAGAAAGAGCCATTGCTCCTCCTCTCACTTCCTTTTCTCTTGTTCCTTTCTTTTCTTTGCTTTGCTTCTTTCTCTTCTTTCTTTCTGTTTTTTGGGTGCCCAGCCCGGACACTCTCCTCCTTAGTCGTCCCACCTGTGAGTGTGAACCCGTCTAATTCATAATACCCCCGCCCAGCTCCTGCCGTGGTCTGGCTCCATTAGGGCTTGACTGTGTGTGTGTGTGTGTGTGTGCGTGCGGGGGCGCATGGAGAAGATGGCAAGGATTTTAGGGTTTTGGCGTGAATGGTTGAAGTGGGGGGGGAGGGGGGGGGGGACTTTTGTGTACCGGTGTTTAAAGCTGGGCATGCAAGCCAGCAGCAGACGGGAGAACAATTTTCTGGGTGGATCTACTGGCAATCAAATCTGATTCTTGTTTCAACGGCACGCTTTTTATACAAAGAGACATACCACCCTTCAATTCTTAAAATTAATGACAGGAGGATAGATCAACAGCATAGGACTTCACAATTTACAATGAATTGAGGCCATTTAAGGATGTACTCCATGGGAATTCTTTATAACTACAACAATATCAATAATAAAGGATAAGGACACACACCATTTTAAATCCAGTGTAGAAAAGAAGTTGGAGAACAGACGACGTTTTTTTCAAAAGTTGTCTTGTTAGAAGATAAAACCCACGCTAACCGTATTCACGTGATAAAATACGGAACCATTTTCCACACACTCACACATAAATATATATACATATATAATGAAGTGAATGAATGTGAGTGATGCATCCTCCTAGTGCCAATTATAAAACAGGTGGAAACATGGAGTGGCTTGGAAGCAAAGCCATCACCACTCATTCGAACCCCTTACAAAACATTTAAAACAAAAAAGAAAAGGTTCAGCTCTCCTCCCATTGGATTGGACTCAGCTTGAAAAGCCAATCTCCTTTTGTCAGTTGATTAGTCCTTTGCTAACCAGGGTTAGTCAGGGATTTTAGCCCTAATCATCAGCACATCCCCAAGAGAAGACCACCGAAAAGGAAGAAGAGACAGACAGACTCAGAGGGAGGGAGGGGTCACTGAAGAAGTGTCAGTGGGTCACGACCCCTGGCTTTACTCTGCGCACACCAAAAGCCAACTCCAGCGTGGAGCCCCTGCCACATCATCACCACGCTGGCTTCCACGTCAGCGAGCATTGTTCCACGGGACTCCACCTTTGACCGAGGGAATTGCCATGCGTGCCATAAAATAAACTCCCCTGTTTCTCCCCCCTTTCTCCCTCCCCCATGCCAGTCCATGATTTGACAAATGATCTGATTGGTGGGAATTTGAAAGTTTGTTATGTGAGGGATTACATTGCAACCACATATTCAAGAATTGTGTGTGAAATTAGGTGAGTGATTAAGCAAATTGGTAAGTTGCTTAGAGAGATTGGTAATAAAAATGATGTGGTTCCCTGCATGGCACAGTGTGTCTAGCTAAACTGGATCTCATCTGGGTTTCCTATCAGGGAAGTGTTCTTGGGGGTGGTTAATTATAATCATCATCATGTTCAAAAAAAAATTTGAATGAACATGTGACTTGCAAGAAATGAAAGACCTACACAACATGAACTCTCCTTACATGTAATGTGCTTTGAATATTGTAGTTTATTTTCTTATCAATTTCTTTATTAGAAACATTGATTTTTGTGCGGCAGTTTTTTTGTTTTAAGATAGATGTAAATTGAGATTTCAAAGTACAAAAATATCATGATTAAATAATTGAAAACTAGGTTAAGAAAAGTGAATACTATGTTTTCACAGAATTGGTTCATGAACTACCAAAGTATTGGTCTCTTGTATTTCTGAAAGCCAAACAACACGAAATCAATTAATCCTCAATATGAAAATTTTGGGTTTTGTATCATTCAATTTTTAACATGCTTATTTTAATTGATCCATGAATTCAATACTCATGTGTGTTCACACTTAGTCTTTTTTAACACAAACAATTTTTTAACTGTTGTTTTTCAATGCAAGTAAACACAAAGCTAAGTCAATGTGTAAAGTTTTAAGGATTGTGATATTCCATGCTTGAATACAAACATACATACATTCTATATATATATATATATATATATATATCTCTATATATATATATATATATATATATATCTCTATATATATATATATATATATATATATCTCTATATATATATATATATATATCTATATATATACAGCCACACATAAAACCATCTTAGAATGTATATTTTATAATCAAAATTTCTATTGGTTCCACAATACAATTTTATGGTTTTTCATCAAAGATAATTGGAGGTGAGATTTAAAATAAAAACCCAAAGCACAACCCACTACATATGTCCATACCTCTGTGGATGGTAGAAGAGTTAAACAAGTTTCCAACCAATTTATATTTATTTCCAAAATTAAACATTAAAAAAAACATTTTAAAGAACAACAGTTCATGGAATGATTGAATTTTTCAGATTTAGGAAATGGAATAGTTTAATCGTGGCAATACTACTTGTGTGTATGTATTGTTTCACCCTTTTAGTGTCTATTTCTTTGTCCTTGTAACTTAATAGTTATAATTCGATTTGATTATTGAAGCAAATCAGGGGGTGCAAGTGGCAAAACTAAAAATGTGGAAGTATCCTCCACCCTGGTATCAAAGACTGGTCCCCTTAAAAAGTCCATTTCAAAAGTATATTTGCCATTGAACAAGACAGGCTCAACGAACTTGCGCAATGCCCCTTTCCGGGAGCGACAAATGGCAACATCGTAAGCATCCCCCATGTCACTATCGTTGTGAAGGCGGCTGATAGAGGCATCAGAACCTTTTTCGCGGCCTTTTCGACGAGAGAGGTACGGGCGTAGCGCTTCTCCCACTATGAACCCCCATTCGAATATCAATGGAAGTTGCGGTGTGATATATTTGGCGTTGCTGATTTTTGCAGCAGCTATGGGCACCGCTGGCCAAGAGTTTGTGAATCTCCGACAGCCTTCCGAGTCTACAATTCCACTTGGTTCTGCTCCTCTCCTGCCCTCCATTGTGGCTAATTGCTGAGCCAGTTGGCGCACGATTTCCAAGAGTATTGCCCGCACGGGAGCTTGCGATTGTTATGTGCATGATCACCAACGTTTGTTTTGTTGCCACCCAGCAAGTTGAGCGCCTGGTCGAGTGGAGCTGGCTTGTTTGGTTCGTTCAAAGCAGACTCGCAGCAAATTTCTGGTGGTTCCTACTGCCAGTGACCA